TTCAATTAGTGTCTAAAAATATAAAATCGTAATGCATAATTTCCTTTTACTCAGAACTTGAATCTTTTTAGAGGAGAGCTTTTACAGGAAAAAAACTCATTATCTTATATATTTAAATAGGTCAGTCTGAATTGTGTATACCATACACTCTGACCTTGTATAAAAGTAGTCCACTCTCAGGATGATGTAATTTTAACAATTTTTATGAAGACCAGATGAAGGCTGGGTATGTGGTAACCTTTGGTGTGACATAGCTTTTAATAGAATGTAGTTTTATGTCCTATAATTAATTCTGAGTCTCTTTGAAAAGGGATATAATTATACTATCAAGTTCAATTGACTAGATAGGAGAATTTATTGTGCTTTCTTTTCCAGCAAAGAAGATTAACACAGTTTCTGTGTGTTAGTACTGTGTGTTAGTACCTAGATAGGAAAATGAATGTAGATTCAGTCACTTGGAAACATAAGAGATTCTTGATATAATAGTGGAGCCTTTGAGGCAGTAAATATTGTCTCAAATGCATTAGTACTGTTTTAGCTCTGAATTTTAAATTGGTTTAGATCATCACTGAGTGCTTTCATATGCTTGGATTCTTTTACACCTATATTTTTGGTGTGCATGAAGTTATTTTGCTCTAATTGATGTTTTTCATTGCTTCTGTGGATCTGTCTTAAGACTTACTAGTTCTGGGCCCCTGGGTGGCTCAGTTGGTTAAGCGACTGCCTTCGGCTCAGGTCATGATCCTGGAGTCCCAGGATCGAGTCCCGCATCGGGCTCCCTGCTCAGCAGGGAGTCTGCTTCTCCCCCTGACCCTCCCCGCTCTCATTCTCTCTCTCAAATAAATAAATAAATAAAATCTTGAAAAAAAAAAAAAGACTTACTAGTTCTTCTATCTTCTCCAAAATGCTGTTAAACCCATCCAATGGATTTTTATTTCAGTTAACTGTATTTTTCAGGTGTAGAATTTCCATTTGTTTTTTTTTTTTATAGTTTCTGCTTCCCTACTGAGATTCCCTAAAGTTCATTCATTAAACTGTATGTTTCTAAGTTATTTAAATATATCCATAATAGCTACAATAAAGTCTTTGCTAATTCCAACAGCTGGGGCCTTGCTAGATTGGTTTCTGTTGACTGTTTTTTTTTTTTTTTTCTTTGATTATGGATCACACTTTTTAGTAATTTTTATTGTACACTAGACATTGCAGATGGTACATTATAGAGATTCTGGACTCCATTATTCTCTGAAAAATATTGATTTTTGTTTTTTGTAGATAGTTCAGTTAGTAGCTGATCATCTTGAACTTGTATGAGCATGATTTGACAGTTTTCTAGGGGAGATATTGGAAAAGCTCAAAAGTACATAATCTTTAAACTCTGTCTCTCCTGTGGTTCTTGTCAGAGTTTTGGTTTAAGTCTTTTTGGGGGTTTGTTTAGAATTGGCATTGCTCTAAATTGTGGTCCTATTTAAAAACTTGATACCTGGTTCTGTGTGTGTGTGTGTGTGTGTGTTTTACTTGATTTTTACTTACAAAATATATTTTGGTTAAATTTCCATGTCAAAATGTATAAATATTTCTTTTAATCCAATATTTATCTCAGAATAAATGTAATATAACATAATCAATCCACTTGATAGGTTGTTATTTGTTTTCAATGCAGAGATGCAGTGAATATCCTTGTATATATTCTATTTGTACTTGTAGGAAAATATAAACACTTTTGGTAAATATTTGTCAATATTCTTCAGATAAAAGCAATGGGATTATTAAATTTGCATTTCTTCATTTACTAGTAAAGTTAAGCATCTTTTCGTGGGGGTTACCAGCCAGTTATCATTTATCTAGTTCTGTAAAAGATGGCGTTTGGATTTTGATGGGGATTGCATTGAATCTGTAGGTCACTTTGGGTAGTAAGGACATCTTAACAATGTTAATTATTTCAATGCATAAGCACAGGATCTTTCCACTTATTTGTGTTTCTTCAATTTCTTTCATCAGTGTCTTACAGTTTTCGGTGTAAAGATCTTTCATGTTCTTGGCTTAATTTATCCCAAAGTATTTTATTCTTTTTGATGCTATTGTAAATGGGACTGTTTTCCTAATTTCTTTTTTTGGATAGTTTGTTGTTAGTGTATGGAAATACAACTGATTTTTGTATGTTGGTTTTATATCCTCCAACTTTACTAAGTTTGCTTATTAGTGCTGACAGTTTTTTGGTAGAGTCTATAGGGTTTTCTACATATAAGATCATGTCATATGCAGACAAAGATAGTTTTACTTCTTCCTTTCTGGTTTGGATGCCTTTTATTTCTTGCCTAATTGTTCTGGCTAGGACTTTCATTACTTTGTTGAATAGAAGTGTTTAGAGTGGGAACCTTTGTCTTGTTCCTGATACTAGAAGAAAAGTTTTCAACTCTTCACTACTGAGTATGATATTAGCTGTGGGCTTGTTATATATGGCCTTTATTATATTGAGATACATTCCTTTTATATTTGATTCCTTTTGTATTTGATCATGAAAGGATGTTGAATTTTCTCAGATGCTTTTTCTGCTTCTTCTGTTAATGTGGTGTATCACATTTGTTGATTTGTGTATAGTTAAACCAGTCTTGCATTCCAGGGATAAATCCCACTTGATCATGTGTCTAATTCTTTCAATGTGCTGTTGAATTCAGTTGCTGATATTTTGTTGAGGATTTTTACAACAATGTTTATCATATAGGGGTATAGGCCTATAATTTTCTCTTCTTGTAGCATCCTTATCTGGCTTTGGTATGTGAGTAGTGCTGGCCTCTTAAAATGATTTTGGAAGTTTTCCCTTCTCTTCAATATTTTGGAAGCATTTGAGAAGGAACATTGTTAATTCTATCTTAAATGCTCGATAGAATTCATCAGTGAAGCCATCTGGCCCTGGGATTGTTTTTGTTCAGAGATTTTTGATTACTGTTTCATTTTTCTTGTTACAGATCTGTTCAGATTTTTTATCTATTCACGATTTAATCTTGGTAGGTTGTATATTTATAGGAATTTATCCATTTCTTCTAGGTTATCTAATTTTTTTTTTAAAGATTTTATTTATTTATTTGACAGAGACACAGCGAGAGGGGGAACACAAGCAGGGGGAGTGGGAGAGGGAGAAGCAGGCTTCCCGCTGAGCAGGGAGCCTGATGCGGGGCTTGATCCCAGGACTCTTGGATCATGACCTGAGCCGAAGGCAGACGCCTAACGACTGAGCCACCCAGGCGCCCCTAGGTTATCTAATTTTTTGGCATATAATTGTTCACAGTGGTCTCTTATGATCCTTTGTATTTCTGTAGTATCACTTGTAATGTAGTCTTTCATTTATAATTTGTTGACCCTTCCTTTTGCTTAGTTAGCAAAAAGTTTATCAGTTTTATGTTTTAAAAAAACCCAACTCTTAGTTTTTTAACGATTTTTTTCTCTTGTTTTCTAGCCTTAATTTTATTCCTGCTCTCATCTTAGTTTCCGTCCTTAAGCTAACTTTGAGATTGTTTGTTCTTTTTCTAGTTTCTTAAAATGGAAAGTTAGATTGTTTATCTGAGATCTTTGTTTTTTTCTCACTGTAGATTGTTTATCACTAAAACTTTTCTCCTAGAACTGCTTTTGCTGCATCTGATATTTTTGGTTTGTTGTATTTCCATTTTCATTTGTATCGAGATACTTTTTGAGTTCTCTTATTTCTTCTTTGATCCATTGATTGTTCAGTTGTGTTATTTATTTCCACAAATTTGTGAATGTTCAGTTTTCCTCATGTTATTGATTTCTAATTTCACACCATTGTTGTTGGAAAAGATACATTATATGATTTCAATCTTCTTAAATTTCTTAAGACATATTTTGTGGTCAACATATAATCTATCCTGGAGAATAACCCATGTGTACTTGAGAAGAATGTGTATTCTGCTGCTGTAGATATAAACCCAGATCATAACAATATTATATTAAATATGAATGGTCTAAACATCCCAATTAAAAAGCAGAGATTATCAGTCTGAAAAACGTTAAAAAATGAACCTTTGATGTATGTTTCAACATGAACAAATTCCTGGGGCGCCTGGGTGGCTCAGTCGTTAAGCGTCTGCCTTCAGCTCAGGTCATGATCCCAAGGTCCTGGGATCCAGCCCCACATCGGGCTCCCTGCTCCGCAGGAAGCCTGCTTCTCCCTCTCCCACTCCCCCTGCTTGTGTTCACTCTCTTGCTGTGTCTCTCTCTATCAAATAAATAAATAAAATCTTTAAAAAAAAAAATGAACGAATTCCAAAATCATTATGCTAAATGAAAAAGACAAATGATTACATAGTGTGTAATAACATTTATAAGAAATCCTAGAAAAGGCAAAACAGAAAGCAGATCATTGGTTGACAAAGTCAGCAATGAAGGAGAGAGACTGAAAAGGAATAGAAAGGAGATTTAGGGGGTGCTGAAAATATTCTATATTAAGGTTATAGTGGTGGTTGCATGACAATACATTTGTCAAGATTTCTCTGTATACATTGGAAATTTGTGAATTTTATTCTATATAAACTATTTCTTAATAAAACTTTTGATTTAATCAAACAGCTAATTAATGAGTTGCATGGAGGAATTCAGGGAAATTAAGGATGAATAGGCATTTTTTTTTTTTATTTTAATTTATTTTTTAAAGATTTTATTTGTCAGAGAGAGAGAGCACAATCGGGGGGGGGGGGTGTGGTGGAGGGAGAAGCAGGCTTCCCACTGAGCAGGGAGTCCGATGCAGGACTTGATCCCGGGACCCTGGGATCATGACCTGAGTTGAAGGCAGATGCTTAACTGACTGAACCACCCAGGCGTCCCTGAATAGACATGTTTTAAAGGAATTGAATAAAATTCAATACTGATATACTAAAAAACAAAATCTCTCTACCTTAATAAAATGTTCAGAATGTTAGAACTTAATATGATTTTTGAACTGAGCCTTAATTTATCTACTATATTTTTAATATTTCTTAAATTATTAGGTTGAACTAAAGCGACAATACAATGATCAGCACTCAAAATTGAGAGGTCTTTTACCTGGTCGTCAGTGGTATGATATTCAAGCATATAGGGCCTTAAACCAGGCCCTAGGTAGGTAAGTGAAATTTAATGTAATGTTACTGTAATATTATCTGTGGCCAGGGCTATAGAAAAGATAGTCTTGCTACTTCTTAGGATAAATTTGATAGCATTTTCTTTTACTAGAATCTTAGGAACTGATATATTTTTAATGATAGATGTCACAAGTGAGAGCTGAAAAGAATAAATGAAACTCTAAAACCTCAAAATTTGCTAAAGTTTAAGATTTATGATTGGGGTGCCTGGGTGGCTCAGTTGGTTAAGCGACTGCCTTCGGCTCAGGTCATGATCCTGGAGTCCCAGGATCGAGTCCCGCATCGGGCTCCCTGCTCAGCAGGGAGTCTGCTTCTCCCTCTGACCCTCCCCCCTCTCATGTGCTCTCTCTCTCTCATTCTCTCTCTCTCTCTCTCTCAAATAAATAAATAAAATCTTTAAAAAAAAAAAAAGAAGATTTATGATTGATCAAACAATGAATGTCACACAGAAGAGGTACTCAGTAAATGTTTAGAGAAGTTCACCACCAAACAGTAAAAATTTTATCTTATGAATATCAGAACCTAGATGATGATTTTATGGGTATAAAGCAAACCATTCAAGAAGAGTTAAAAGAAACCATGCTTTTGGGGGCACCTGGGTAGCTCAGTTCGTTGAACATCTGACTCTTGGTATCAGCTCAGGTCATGAGCTCAGGGTTGTGAGATCAAGCCCCACTTCAGGCTTCAGGCTCAGCCGGGAGTCAGTTTGAGATTCTCTCTCACCCTTGTCCGTCCCCCTGTGTGCACTCTCTCTCTCTCTCACTCTCAAATAAATAAATCTTTGAAAAAATAAAATTAAAAAAATTTTTTTAAAGCTAAAGAATTAATGCCAACTAACAATAACATTTAATTATAATACTTCTTTTCCTAAGGATTCTGGTCCATTAAGATTTGTGCTTTGTGGAGCTAGTTATTAAGTCACCATTTTATAACATAATTTTCATGTTGTAGAACATAGCATTTAATTTATAAACACTTTTGGGGCGCCTGGGTGGCTCAGTTGGTTAAGCGACTGCCTTCGGCTCAGGTCATGATCCTGGAGTCCCCTGATCGAGTCCCACATTGGGCTCCCTGCTCAGCAAGGAGTCTGCTTCTCCCTCTGACCCTCCTTTCTCTCATGCTCTCTGTCTCTCATTCTCTCTCTCTCAAATAAATAAAATCTTAAAAAAAAAAAAATTTTTTTTTAAATTTATAAACACTTTAATCCTTAGACTTTTAATAACCTAATATTTTATATTCTCTATTCATGAAATTGTAACTAGTTAAAACCATGTGATAATTTTTTCTTGTGGAAGCTGTAAGGCACTCATATAATCAAAAGAACACAGGTTAAGAATAAAATCATGAAAACATGACCATTTGACATATTTTCTGTTCAGCCAAAAGACCCACACCTAACTGTAATCTGACCTAACCAAATCCAGAATTTAAATTTTTCTCATCTTGTTCACTCACATTAGCCTATTTACACCTAAGCTTTTAGATTGCATTTGAGTTCAGATTTACAGATAGCTAATGACAGGACTACAACAGCTGGATTTAAGTCCCAGAACACATCACCCACTCCCTACCTCATCATTTAAAAATTATATTCTGCAGGTGTTTCCCTTCAAATTGAATGATTCGGTTCTATGGTTAATCTACTGATATGGTTAAGCTGCTGCCCTTCTCTGCCTAGAAATTTCATTAGTACTTGGCATCATGTTGCACTATAAATTGTTCTTGAAGCATTTCATCTGCTTACTTGGTGTCTCCCTGTTGTTGACCTGTTTTGTGTTCTTGTATTTGTATTTTAATATTCAGCAAATAGTTTCTAGGGGAGCCTGAATATTATTTAAAATTCTTGACTTTTAGTCACTATACTTAATTTCAGGACAGTAAATATTCTGACCTCAGTTACTATTTTTTCCTTTTAATATAGGCAGTGTATTGAATTTTAAGAAATCGTTTGAAGCAAAAATATATTTATATCCTACTTTGTCATTTATAAACATTTTCTACATATATTAAACAGGTTGTAAGAGATGAAATTACTTGTCTAGTATCACATAATTACTAAATGGGCCTTCATATCTTGGCCCCACCTACTTTTAAAACCTCAGGACCTGCTTTTTCATCCTTAGACCCTACCTTTATCCTCTAAAGCTCTCACTGTTAAACATAAAACATCTTATTATTAAACATACCATATCCTTTCACTACTCTCTGCTTTGGCATAACAAGCTATCGGACAATTCATTTGGCAAGTTTACCAATCAAAACCTAGTTGAAGGTCATGTCCTTCATGAAGATTTCTTTTTACTTTTCCAACTAGTTATTTACACCTTAGGAAATCCATAGTAGTTTATACATTATCTCTATTACACATATATCTCATTGTATTGTAATAACCTGTTTATATATCTGTCTCCTTCCCTAAACATGTATTTTACATTCTCAGCAAACAACTCTGCCTCAGCTTGGGGCATAGATGCTCAATAAATACTTGTTGAATTCGTGAAAAATGGTGGGTTTGGTCCTTTCTCCACTATACCATGTTGGCCAGAGAACGTCTGGAGCTTCAAAACATACTTTTCTAGAATTTCATAAAAAGACATGTGTTTGTAACATTGATATATAATACTATAGTTTTCATATTTTATTATTAATTAAAAAATTGATAGCCCAACTGTCATTGTATTGATTTTCAGGGAAACAGTATCAACAAGTAGCAACTTTTTATTACAAAGAAATACTCATTTAAAAATCAAGTGAATGTTTTACATCACTTGATAAAACTCATAATGTGTATTGATTGACATAAAGGTACTTATAACCAGGTACTCTTCTTATACGGGATAAGTCTAGAAGGTCTAAAGTAAGCAGAAACAAATGGAGTTTAAAAAAAAAAAATCTTTTTTTTAAGACCACATGGGACTGTTAGAGTATTTGAAGTAATATAAGTCCATGAAATGTAATAACAGCCTTCGGGAATGTACCAGATGGTTTTGTGACCAGGTTACAACTGCACTATGAGTTTCCTAACGGGTCTGCTTTACTGAAAGTATAATCTTTGTCTCAAGTGGGCATAATTCATTTGAACAAGGCAGAATGAAAACAATGGAAAAAAGAAAAGGTGAAATTCTTTTCTCTGAACTGTTTTGGTAACTTAAATGCCTTTCTACCTTAGAACACTTTAAAATAAACCAAAATGGAATAAAAAATAGAGTGACACCCCAACTTTCCATTAATTTTCAACACTGGTCTATAATATTGGCAATATCCATCTTCCTGTCCTGCCTAATTTTGTGGTCTGATGCCTCAGAACCTAGAATTACTTTAAAATAATATTTTTAAAAAGTCATATAAAATTTAGATTGTTTTAAATCTCTGGAAAAATAAAACATTTATATTAATCTTCACCCCTCTCAAAATTCCACAAAACTAAAGGAATAAAAATGATAAAAATGCCAAAACTACAAAGTTAAAAAGAGTGGGAGAGGGAACGCTACCAGATGAGATGTCAGCAAATTTTGATCACTGAAGAACAGATGAATGATTGAGTGACTTAGCAGGCAAAAGAAAGCTGTTGTGAAAGTCAACAAGATTCTTCAGATTCAGGCATGGAAAAACTTGGGATGTGGGGGCACTCTAAAGTATCATTTAAAGTAGGATTAATCACAAAATAATTGATTGCAAGTTACTGTAAGTAGTAGACAGCCCCCCTCCCCACTCAAATTTACTTTCTGGAGAGATTGTATTAGAGAGTTTATATGTTCTTCAACTCCAGGTATAGCTAAGGATGTATTAAAGATGGGGGTTAAGAAAAGTCTGTTTATGGAATGTGAGAACTCTATCCCCCTTTTCTTCTCAGCTCTGCATAGGCTTATAATCAATCTTATATCTCCAAGGCAGGAAAGTATAGTATTCCTATCTAGAGATACTAATTACCTCATGAGTAAAGACCTACAGATAGTAGCAAAGTGGTCCTGTGCCTCCCAAAGTACCTTACTCTGGCACAGCTTCCCAGTATGTAAGCCATACCCCATGTTGGCAGAGCTACCAATCAACGTTTTCATACTTCACTCTTATGTAAGTGCAAAGAGTCATCACCAGATAATCAAAAAAAGTCTGTAACATGAAAAATACCAAAACAATATCAAGACTATACCAACAAAACAAAAACAGGGTGGAAGAACTTGTAGACAACAGAAGCAGTGCATTAGAACAGAGGTTGGCTGTTCTTTTTGGTCAAGTCTCTGTACAATAGAACAGAGGTTGGTCAAACTCTTTCTGTAAAGAAGTGGACAATACATATTTTAGGTTTTTTGGGCCATGTCCAGTTCTGCACCCATATTCTTTATTTTTCTTTTAACCTCTGAAAATGTGAATATCATTCCTGCCTTGCAGGCTGTACAAAAACAAAATATGGACCAGATTTCCTGTGTGGGCTTATTTAGCCAACCCCTTATCCATAGAGGGTAAAATACTTCCTCCATGAAATAAGAGAAATAAGAACAGATTTATTTTAAGAAAAGTTTCCGGGCATTAACATGATAGCAAACTTTAAATGCAGAATTAGGCTCAGAAGATAAAATGGAAATTTCCTAGGTCAAAATAACAAAGAAAATTTAAAGATCAGTATGCAAGAGGCAATTTCTGATAAAAAGGAGATCTGTAGGAAGAGACCAGAGAAAATACAGAAGAAGAAAATATAGAAGAAAGAAAATATGGAAGAACTTAAACCTATCAAAGAAATAATTCAAGAAAAATGCTCAGAATTGAAGGGCATAATTTCCTGATTAAGGGGGCCCACCCAAGCACCAGTAAAGGGAGAAAAGCTACAAAGTACCTCACTGTGCAGTTTCAAAGTACCTGAGATAAAGAAAAAGTCCTAGAACGTTCCAGAGAGAAGAAAACAGGTCTCATACAAAAGACATGAAATCACAATTGAGAGACTCCTTAAAAATCAACATTAGAAGATAGAAGACAGTTTTAAATT